TCCTTATTTGTACCTTAGTATTAATCCTTATCAAAATAAATTAATTTATATTCAAGACGGCTTCAATACCTTTTTAAAACTCTTTGAATTATTCAATTCGGACATTTCATTCGGAAGATATCACGAATTTAAAAATGCAAGTATTAGAAAAAAGTCGCGTGGTTGCCGCTCACCGCGCTCAGCTAGCCAGCATGCGATGTAGGCTCCATGTAAGCGTCACTGGGGTACGGGGGGGAGTCAATCACAACTAATATTATAAATGCGAAAGTAAGTCTGTCTGTCTGTCTGTTACGCTTTCCCGCTTTAACCTCTCAACCGATTTTGATGAAATTTGGCACAGACAATCTTTAGACCCTGAGAAAAAACATAGGCTACCTTTTATTGCGAAAAAGGGGATGAAGAGGTTGAAAGTTTGTATGGGATTTCTTAATTTTAAAAGATAAAACTTTATATTAATAGATAAGATATATTTAAACATTTGTTCTAGCGTTTTAGAAATTTCGACCAGTGAGGGGGTGAAATATGGGTTGAAAGTTTGTATGGAATTTGTTAATTTTAAAAGATATAACCATGTTTTTTTATTTAAGCACTGGATAAGATATATTTAAACATTTGTTCTAGCGTTTTTGAAATTTCGACCAGTGAGGGGGTGAAATAAGCGTTGAAAGTTTGTATGGAATTTGTTAATTTGAAAAGATATAACCATGTTTTTTTTATTTAAGCACTTGATAACATATATTTAAACATTTGTTCTAGCGTTTTTTGAAATTTAAAATCTTTTGTTATTTTTACCACCGTGGGGGTGAAATTCTACACGTATCAAGTTAAAAAAAATTGGCTTTTGAAGTTAAAGTTCCTTTAAACGAATAGGTAATCTGCATCGCTGCCGCTGCCGTCGGTCGTCGGTCACCGCACAGTGGGAAAGCCCCATACAAGGCCGTCTCAAAACCCCTTCTCATGAAAGTCGTTATTATGGAGTAAAACTAATTAAGTAATATAGTCTTATATATAAGCTTTCTTTTCTATATTTTTTAAATCATTTTTTGCAAACCATAATATATATTATAAGGTATCAAAGTTAACTCATGTTCAATGGTGTTACTTTGGCCCAGTACATTACTTCAATTCAACCAGGGCCGTGCCTGACGGGCGTTCATTGCGTGCACCGCACGCAGGCGGCCGAAATTAAGAGGCGGCCAAATCGTTACAAGTTGTTTACTGGGCAAAAATACAATCGGTTTGTTTTCATTAAGATACGAAGTAAAAACAGTTTCTCTAATCTAATCTATCTAAAAAGAGTTTCTCAGAAATAAGAAATGTATAAAAACTGATTAGGTCGTTGTAGTATTTATATACCTAGTCATGCAGCGAATCCGAATTTTTTCGAACATTGCACGAGCGACGAGCCGAAATAGTTTTTTCAATTGACCGGCGTCGCGTAAGCGGTCTTATTCGTCTTATTAGTCGTATTAGTCTATAGACTAGCGAGGATAAATCGTTATTTGTGTCCTGTGTGTGATCCGATATTATTAAAGTCTTTAATTTTACGAATAAAAATAAATTGCTTAATTCCTGAAAACTTTTAGTTGTGTGTTCGTGTGGTGAAATTTAATAAAAAGTTTATTTACTCGACAAAGACTGAAAAAGGTAATACACAAAAATGTAAAATTTGGGTAGACTTTCACTTTTGGGGCCCGGGAAAATTTGGCGGGTCTTTTTGGAGGGAATAGGCCTTTTGATATGAAATTCTTAAATAAATATTAAAAAATATTTAATAATATAAAAATAATAATAATTAAAATAAATAATAAAATAGCGCAATTTAATATTAAATTACTTAAAATCTATAATTAATGTATATTTTAATGCGTATAGGATGACACGATAAGAAAATCATTTATAAGCTTTTTAAGTAAAACATATTTTTAAACATAAATATGTCAAGATTTATTTTAGGCTACATAAGTTCAAATGCTTTATTTTCCATCGGCAGGTTGTGAGCGATTTAAACAGAGAATCTCGTATGCAAACAAACAACTTTTAATTATTATATAAATGCATTCAAAATGAGAAAGTTATTCATTTTTTTGTATAAATTAAGGAAGATTTTAAGTAATTTTTCTTAAATTTCATCCAAACATATAAATCTCATAAAACCGGTTTTTAGCCGGTTTTTCTTTTCAGAAACCGGTTTTGGGAACAAAACCAATATTTTTTTTCGTTCTCGATTTCGGTTAACCAAAAACTGATTTTTTTTCCCGGTTTGATGCCCTGTGTATAATAATAAACATTAAATATTAAAGTAGTTTTTTTTAATGTTATCCTGGGGGCGGCCATACAGACTGGCACGCAGGCGGCCATATACCCAGGCACGGCCCTGAATTCAACGCCACATTACTTGAAAGTATTATTAATATTATAAATGCGAAAGTAACTGTCTGTCTGTTACGCTTTGACGCCTAAACCACTGAACTGATTTTAATGAAATTTGGTACAGAGATAGAGTTGACTTTGAGAAAGATCATAGAATAGTTTTTATCGCAGACTTTTGAAAGGTTCTGTTGGAATCGCGATATAACCGAACTCCACGCGGGCGAAGCCGCGGGCGGAAAGCTAGTCCTTGTATAAAAGTCTATGGTTTATTGGCAAATTAATTTAATAATGTTTAAAATTGGAAGATGTTATATTCATTATGTTTTAAATTTCGAACATTTTGGTAAATATTGAGGCCATAAGAAGTTGTATTACTAACCTGTCTTTTGAGTAGGAGTCAAGTGTTAGTGACTTTTACTTTTCTTTTAATTTTACTTTGAAAATAATGTCAACATAGAAAAGATAAACATACTAAAATAACGTCAAATTATTGACATCCCTACTAATATTATAAATGCAAAAGTAACTCTGTCTGTCTGTCTGTTACGCTTTCACGCCTAAAACATGGAACTGATTTTAATAAAATTTGGTACAGAGATAGAGTTGACCTTGAGAAAGAACATTGGATAGTTTTTATCCCAGACTTTAGAAAGGTTCTATTGGAAACGCGATAAAACCGAAATTCACGCGGGCGAAGCTGCGGGCGGAATAAAAGCTAGTAATAAGATAATTAAGTCCATTTCTTTCAAAATAAAGAAAAAGAATTAAAACATCATCAAAAAGGGCAATTAACCATTTTACGTAATATACGAAATTTTATAAAATAACTACATATTTAAATTAACTTTTAAATTTACAATCATCAGGTTTGAAATATTTAGGGGCAGCAACAATGATCAAAGGATGGAAGAAAATTTGTAATACTTGATTATTGACCTAATTATTCGTTAAAGACCTAAAAAAATGGCTTTTCATAAATAAAACCCAAAGTGAAACAAACATTTTATCTGATATTAAATTTAATAGGTATTCTATTATTTACATTAAATTGTTCACTATTAACATGGTATTTATAATATTTATCATTCCGTTGTCAATATATTTTATGTACAGAACTATTTATAAATTATATAATAATATCAATACTGTGAAGTTCCATAAACCACGAGTCTTTGTGAAATTTTTGTTTAGTTTTTTTACTTATAAACAAAAATCTCACATAGAAACAAATAAACACAAATTTAAACAGAATGATATAACAGAATACTAGTTCATAAATTTTAGCACCTCCACAGGCTAATACAAACTTACATACACAATAATACCTCGAAATCAGCACACAATACATTTTAACATATTATAAATTACATATCAAATATATTTATTTATTAAAAAATTGTGATAATCGTATGTTATTGAGTGACACAGCGGGTACTGCATTTGGCACTAAACATTTGGAACGCACATTTCTATCTACTTATGTTTTATTATATAGATTAATGAAATCCCAACAATACGTCACTTACGAATTTGTTTTTGCGTTTTTATCAAATATTTATTTTATAACATGGCAACATTCAACTTTTATAACTTCAGAAACAAATTATTTTTATTATATAGAAACGTCAATAAATTTCCATTAATAACATATTGTTTTAATAAACATTGCTGTTCAAGTTGAATGTTGTAATGTCATGAAACTTCTTTCAAAAGCGGTAAATTGGTAATGTTGACAATAAAACTATTGATCTAAAGGTATATTAAAATAGTATATTTGACAAAAAGGAGATTTAATTTGGCAAAAATGTTTCAATATAGTGAATACTATAAAAATTAGATATGTCGAATATAACATGATACAGGTTTAAAAATATTGCTTCGTCTACACACTAGTTAAATTGTTATAGACTGTGTTTATATGATTAAAATATCTACCGCCGACGCGACGTTACGAACCCACGAGGCTAGCTACAGGAGAAATTTATGAAAATTCACTATTATAATAACTACGGTACAAATTTGGCAATAGATAATGTTTTATTGTTCGTAGTTAAGTAACATTATAGTAAGTACCTACTTAAGAATATGAAATATAAATTCCATCGCATTATTGTATCAAGGACACTATCAAATTAAACGAAATAAATACAATTTAAGTAAGTACATTAATATTATCTCAAACATGATTTATTATTTAAAATTTTGGTTACATATAACTATAATTTTAAATTTGTTAAAACATTAAAAAACAATAATATTTAAGTCACTAAAGTATATTCAGATATAATTGTTCATAATATAAATTGATTTCGATTAAAAAAAAACATTCAATTAAGGTGACTACTCCGTACGACGCTATCATTAAAGCTAGACAGTAATAAGGCAGTATTACCCAAAGTAAATCCGTTTATACACGCGTTACACCAAATCCAAAACAAATTAAATATCTCGATGACACATTCCGTGCGGAATGTATTCGAAGTGTGACAGCGCGCGTCCCTGTACGTTCGGATACACGGACCGACAGCAAATGTAAAACCATTTGCGTCGAACGAGTCACGTTCGGATACGTGAACCAGCAAATGTAACATTGGCATTATGTTATCCGTGGTGGCGGGAAACCTGCGCTAGGTTTGTTTGAGCCAGTGCGCGGGCACCCACTGCGGCTCCCTCTCCAGACTGTTGATCTCGTTCAACAGTTGCTGGTAGGCGCGCTGCGTGTCGTTGTTTATAATGATCATGTCGAATAAATGACCCCAGCGGAGTTCCATGTCTCTAGCGGTCGCTATTATCTCTTTAAGTTCCTCCTCCTGGAAATATATATGTTTTAGTTATTATTAATGGCGTCTTACTTAAATGTCGATTGAAACTATAAGGTTGAACGGAATGAGCATTAGCGCGGCGTGCATATGGACTGATAATAGATTTTTTATATGGCAAATCAAACTACTACTATATAGGACATTCTATATCCTGTTTACTGTTTATATACGATCTATTCTATTATATATTCCATAATATTTACCTTAAAAGCCTCTCCATTCCTGATCTTCTTCTGTCGCAGTTTTTCCAAGCTAGGTGGCGCCACGAACACGGTGTACGGCTTGAGGTCGGAGCCTCGCAGGATACGCAGCGACTGAGGGTGAAGGTTCAGTACACATATCTTACCGGAGTTAACGACCTCACGGATCGCCTCCACAGATGTACCTGGAAATTAAAAAGAGGTTTATGTTAGAACAAAAAGTATTAAGAACACATGAACAAAGTGTCTTCTCCTTAAAAAAGACTAAGTACGTGTTATTGCACACATCTTAGAACATATTATGTTAATGTAGTAATTTAGGTCAAATTTATTTACTTATTAGTCAAAAGACTAAATTGTAAACTTAATAAAGTATAAACTAAAGAATTGAACTGCTATTTCAATAGATGGTTATTCTGGAATGATGGAATGGAATACTGGTTGGAATTAGGGCTTACATAAAATGTTTGCTTTATATTTTTTGGAAACGAAAATTGTAAGTAAATAAAACCAGGATTGATAGACGGATTTCCTTTCAACGTTTAAACGCGACGAATTAAATACATTAGTTGTCATAAAATGACAATTAGACCACGATTAGTAAATGACTGTTCTATTGAAATGTGTTACGAGAATCTCAGTAAATAGTTGTTTAGTGTTACCTTATAAAAAAAACATTTAGATTTTTGGAAGCAAAAGCTTGTAACGATTAAACTACATCAATTAATTTACACTAAGCCAATCTTATATGGATAAAAAGACATATACTATTGATTGCTACACTTAGGTCTTTGTACATCCATCCTCATCTTATGCCCTTAACAATTCTATGCTTTACGTTAACTTGAATGATAATTTCCTCACCATAATAAGCCTTCTCGTATTCTCCGTGCTCCACAAACTTTCTGTTGAGGATGTCGGCCTCAAACTGTGCGCGCGATATGAAGTGATAGTCTTGACCCGCCGCCTCGTGGTCCTTGCGGGCTCGAGATGTATCTAAACAATATATATATGATAGTTAAATAAGATTTAAATCACTTAATACTATAAAGAATATTATTGAAGTATTAAAATCAATATATAAGACTTCTTTGTCCAATGTTATGACCAAGTTTTATTGCAAAAAACAGGGAAACTAAATTAGTTGGATTATATCTTTGAATACAGTATAGTATAGATGAACATTAATATTACAAGAAAGACAAAAGAATCAAAACAGTTTCGAGAAAGTGTCAAGTTGATTCCTGGTTCTTTAAACTCATACTTTATTGTATCTAGGGTCTTGCTAACATTTTAATAGAAGATAGAACTGTATTACTTTTCTGATAAGGTTTGATTTTGCATGACCATCACTCCTTATTTATCATCATAACATTATGATACTACTCTAGAAGAAAAAGACACTATATAATTTTACAAATAACGTTTAATTTTGCCTGACCAAAACTGATAATTTATCTTCATAACATTCATACTCACTACACAAAAATAAAAAGAGACTAAATAATTATAAAAATAAGGTTTAATTTTGTCTGATAACTACACTAAAATAAGAGAAGACTTTATAACTATACAAATAAGGTTTAATTTTGTCTGATACTCACGTGGTACTGCCGCAGCGAATCTCGTGGAGTCTTCCATGAGTCTTTGCCTGAGTTCATGTCTACCGATGTTGGGAGGTCCGATGAGTACTATGGGTCGCTTGTGAGAGGCGCGAGGATAGTATAGAGCTACCTCCTCGTAAGTAAGTATCTCCTCAGCTTCGAACTCTGAAGGTAGTTTGATAATAATGGCTTAGATTAGGTATTAAATGAAATTAATATGGTGGATTGGCAGAAGCTTCTTGTGAAGCTATGTAGGATGAGTAGTCTTCTACCTGGCAATTTCCCAGCTATAGCCAGGGTCTGCCTTACATGTTATGAATAGTTTTTGGCTATTTGTTTTTACGACCGGCCGCCTGCCTGACATCAACCCTCTTTTTGGGAATCAACATTAATCAGTGATGTCTAAATACTCTTAGAAAGTACATATGATTCCGAAAAATCACATTGGTACTTGCCCGGGCCAGGATCGAACCCGCGCCCTCAGCGACGAGAGGCCGAGAGGCGGGCCCTTTAACCACTGAGCCACCACTGACTTTTGAGGATGAGTAGTATATAAAAAAATTAAATAACTGTTTATATTATATTCATTTTACATATAATTTGCACTAATTCTCCCTATGTCTATAGCCGAGCATACTTATAATTTTATTATTATTTATATTGATAACTCCTAGAATAGAAATTGTCAAAGTTAACCTTTGCTGCATCAGATATTTGTCAGCGGAAGTCTCTTTAAAAAAGGACCCGGCGTTTTAGCGATTAACCAGAACAAACAGACAGATATACAATAAAATGTCAAAAATATTAGTTGATGTGTATATAGGCTACATAATAATATGAAATTAGTAAGAAGCAGAGGTCATAAAATTTATTTATAGATATGTATCAATGTATCTATATACGTATGTATGTACGTGTGTGTGTGTGTGTGTGTGTGTGTGTATATTACCATCAGGCTGTGCCGAGTACAGCGGGTATCCAGCCTCGCTGGTGGGTTTCCTAGGCTTGCGTCTCCTGGCTCGAGCACACAACAACGTGGCGCCCTTCCTCGACCTCCTGGCAGCGGAGCCCGCCTCGCCAGCCAGAGACAGCTTCATTGATTCACGCCTGTACCAAATATATCATATATATTAGATAACACGTATTCACTAGCTGTTCACCTTTACGTGAACAAACGAACAAACAAGATGATATGTATCGACTTAAACTATTAGTGTATACAACATAATAAGTAATATAAATATGTTTTAAGTATACATATGTAAGTTTAATAGAAATAAAAAATAGTATGAACTAATATACAGGGTGACTGGTGAATTACTATCAATATTTAAGGAGCATACTCGGTACATGATTCTCATTCGAATTATGTAAAAAAGTAGGTACTTAATTTTTGACCAAACTTCCGTATAAATAAATAAAGTGTGGACACGTTCCAAGTGTTCCAAGTGTGGACGCGTGCGGCGGCGTGCTGATACAACAACACGCCGCCGCGCGCGTATGTGTGTGTGTGTGTATACCTAATCTGTAGGGTGTTCATACGATGCGTAATTAATTACATAACTTTTGGTTAACTTTACTTAGAAGTTTATTAATATTTATGTTATATTAATTTTTATTTCGTCATATATGATCGTCAAATATCACGTCCTCAAATATCGATAGTAATTCACCAGTCACCCTGTATTATTTGTTTGCTGAGTATAATTATAGCTGTATGTTTTTTTTTATTATTTCAAACACGGCAAACGAGCAGATGGCCTACTTGATAGATGGTAGTCACCGTCGTCCATGGACAATTCTAATATATGAAATGTTGCGGATGCATTGTCAATCTTGATTGTGGAAGAGAGAGAGGCAAGATAAGGCAACTAACATACGGACAACCGTCTCTCTCACTCATCGGACGAAACGCAATCATTAAAGTCTACTTCACACTAATCTTCTATACGAGGGTGGTACTTTCCGCTCGAGCCAGCCCATGTTCGAGCTGTAGTAACTTGACTCTACCACCTACAAGTTGTTTAATCGTCTACTCACTGATGCTGGAAGGCCTGGCTGGGGATCAAGCCGGCGAGGGTCTGATCTTCCTCCCCCTCCCTGAAGGCCTGCCACCAGTTGGGATCCTCCCGACTTATGACGTGTAATACATCGCCTTTTTGGAAACTTATACCTGAACAAGAAGATAATATGAATGGAAATCACATACTATATTTAATATAAAAAATAAGGTTAAAAATATTCTTCTATACATATAAAAGATTTTGGCCAAACGTCATAATTTATAACATATCTTTAAATATTCATTTACATACATATATATGTACATTTCTTTTTAAGCGTTTATTAATAAATCTATCAAAAATAGCTTGTACAGTCTTTTCTTTAAGATCTTAAATTATGCTCACAGACAGCACTTATTATTGTGTCAAATCAATTCATACAAAATACATTAACCCTATGTTCTGGCGGGAACTACATTTAATTTCGTGATAAATTAATGCTTATATGTGACTCTGATTTCAAGGTACGTCAAGTTTTATCAACATCCATTCAGTAGTTCTAATTTAAAGACTAACAAACATCCATACAACCTTCATACTGATAAGTTTAGTATTACTACTAAGATAAATCTGAGTAGTGATCAAACTTACCAAGTTCTCGACACGGTATATATACATCGTCCTCTGGGTCGTAATCGAAGTGGGCCCGGACGTGTAACACGCGGTAGGCCGGAGGAGGCCTGGGCCTTGGTCGAGGTGCGAGCACCACGCTCAAGGTCCCCGCCAGGCCTCCAAGGACCTGACAGACCTCGTGCACCGACTTCCCGCGCATACTCACACCGTTCACTTCGAGGAGCTGGCAAGGAAGATGGAACGTGAATAATGAACGAAGAAATATGACGACTTTAACCTAGAAATCTATCTATAATTACTGTAAGTTTACTATTCAGAATGTCATTCCAAAGCTATAATCTTTCTTTTTTTCGTCCAAATTAAATTACGTTATATTATTTGTACTTTAACATGTAAGTGATAAGAATTTGTACATCTCTGTAATTATACAAGTATAATGAGATCTGATACTTTCGCGAGTATTCATTTAAATGAAATAAATATTTTCGGATTACTACGCGTATTTTATTACGTCAAAAACAACATACTATACGTTTCGTTTCTTTTCAGGAACCGTGATCACAACAGACGAGATAGTTAATTATATTCCTAAACTTAATAAGGCTAACCTATTGAGTTCCTCAGAAAGATATCTAAGATATATTATCTACTATACAGGCCTAGCCTAGAGTGGACGTCAAAGTTTTTATTGTAAAGTTTTTACAAATGTATAAATGAAATAAATAAACTGAATAAGTTCCTTATGAAATAAACTGAATATTATCTACTATAGTTTAATGATAACACTCCTTATAAAGCACTCACTTCATCTCCTTCGTGTAAGAGTCCTGATTTCTCCGCGGCTCCTCCTCTTACAATCCTTCCTATAATAACCGCCTCTCCTTCATTCCTCACTGTAGCACCTAAAATAACACATTCAATAAATATCGCACTATATTACTCAATAGTTAACTTTATATAATAACCTTACCAAGTGGTTCATTAGTTTTTTCTATTTTAATTATCTTAATATTCTCGCTAGAATCGTCCGGAGAATTAGGTAAATATTTGTCGTCTTTGTAGTTGTTGAAGCCAGTCTGCAAGATTGCAAATAATAAATTAAAATATGCATGCACAAATGAAATATATAAAGTAATGAAGATCTTGAAATCAAAACAACTTTTTGAAATGAAAAAAAAAACCACAATTCTTAAGTGGGAATTTTATTTAAAACTACCAATTCTATATTAGTTAAATCAAATAGTCACAATGAAATTTCTTCCAGATCACAATTTCTTAGTGGGATTTTTTTAATTATATCTACGAATTCCATATTACTGTAAGTCCCAAAATAATATTGACCTTATTTCTCTTCACTCTATTGAAACACGAAGGGTCTAGTAATGCGGCTGCCTGGTCGTGAGCCTGTATCACACTTTCCACTTCTAGACCTCCCAAGATTGACAGCAGTTCCGCAGCTAAAGCTGATGTCTCACTACCAGACGACGTGTGAGAACCTAACACGTCTATACACTGCAGAACAGAAAATATGAAAGAAGATTAGCAAAGAAACATCCAAAAGAATAATGTGACGGATTTATAAAAGGCAAAAAAAGACAGACCCTGGCTAAAGCTGGGAAATTGCCAGAAAGAAGAAGAAGAAGACTTAACATACTCATATAGTAGCAGAAATGATATTGTCGTATTTCCAACTCAAATTATGAGATTGTTGCATGTATTTTACTTCTATCATTGTCATATCTAGTTATGAAGATAGTCAATGTTCAAACTAATAATGTTTCTTCGAACTAAACTCTGTATGATGTATGTTTCCGAATACTGTATTCAGGAACTAACTCTGACCTTTGTTCAATACGGTTCACCTGTCATCCAGTGAAGTGTTCGGAACTTTCGTCTGTAGTTAAGTTTATACAAACTTTATAATTGATTTATCTAGCGATGAGATATTCTCATCTCGCCTCAAAAAGGAAGGTTTTTTTTTATTGAAACAATAAAGCAGAGACCATAAATCCTACTAATATTATAATTGCGAAAGTTTGTGTGTGTATGTTACCTCTTCACGATCAAACGGCTGAACTGATTTTGATAAAATTTTGTATACAGGAAGCTGATGTCCAGGAATAAGACATAGGGTACTTTACATCCCGGAAATCCCGGGGTAACACTGCGGGGAATAGCTAGTAAATGTATATAACTTACATCCTTTAGTCTATCAGTGGCTCGATGTGTTTGCGGTGGTGACAACCCTGGTCGTTTATGTCTTACAGCTGTTAGGACTGCGGATCGTGTCGCCAGGGCTGTCCTCAGAGCGGGACACAGTAGGGCTCCAGCGGCGCCAGACACCCTCGCCGCTAGAGCACCCTCTCCGCACGACGATAATGATTTTTGAACCCTCGATAAAGCTGCACATACTTCCTGATAGTCTAGAAAGAATAAAATGCCATTCATATCACGAAATAAGCGTTCTTCTTAAATGTATGTATTACTAAGAATACGGAGAAGATTACTTGGTATTTACAAAAATGCCTATATGTTAAAACCATACTGTATAAAATAATAATAACCTTTTAACCACAAAAAATATAAATAAGTGTGAAAGAAATTACTCAGAATGTTGTTATTACTTCGTCATTATAAAATCTCATGAACCTTTCCTTTCGCGTCCAATTAAAAGTTCAGAGAGCGGTCAAGTCGAAAAAGTTATAAAAAAAAATCGTATTTGTCAACTCAAAACTCAATAGCGCCCTCTAGATTCTAGAAAGTTCAAATACTTGATTTTAAAACCTCCAGTTATTCACTCCGGGCCTCATTTTTTTAATCTCAGGTTTTTTTTAATATCCAGCGCAGATTGACGCAAGTCTGTTAGTTACCATCTGACCTATTTACAGTAAACGGTCGAACTATCTCTCAGTGAAGTGTAAGAACGCCTGCAGTTCTACTACTATTGTAATTGTTTTATTCGTTACACTATATGTCGTTATATACAAAGTTTTATTTATAATCATAATAATAAAGATATTTCGATATCATATTTGGATCTTAGAATTAAATTATAATTATCTTTTTGTTAATTCCATACAAAATTTAATGCTCGATAGCCGACCATATTAATTGATTAATTCTGAAATAGATATGTCATTATATTTGACATTAACTGTCAATACCAATATTGACATTAAAGTACTGTCAAAGTCATGTTAGTGTGTAATATTTCTTTTAATTGATTTAATGCATTTCTAAAACATTTTATATGTATATATGAGCTTGTGGCACTTCGTCTCTATATAACTTTTAACTGCGTTAAATTCCGCATTCAGCCGTTTGCGTAATTAAAAATGAAACATATTTCGCATTCAATATTAATATAATTATAATTATAATTACTTGTTCATAAATGAAATTAATATTTTTCGTATGTACTACGAGACTTTATTTTTGATAAAAAATAACATACGTTTCGGCTACTTTTCAACAACCGTGATCATGGTTGCAGAAAAATATTACTTTCATTTAAATGAATAAGACCCGCAAAAATCTTAGATCTTATGACTTGGTCATATTTTTTTATATTTGAAAATGTAAGTCAAAAAACGTAGAAAACGAAATATTTAATTTAGATATTTGTTACAATTTTTAAATCCAGTTTCATTTAAGGAAAGATTATCAGTAATCTACATAGTATTTAAGATCCTAATGAAAAGAATCATACATATATACATAATAAAATACTATCCCGCAAAAAGTATTAGTATAGCGTTCTTGTATAGAAATTTACAAAAACAACGTTAATTATTTTCTATCAATTACATTTTTATACATATGTATGTTTATTTTACATATATTCTAAAATTCGTAGAACAATATATCAATTATCATCTTAATCATTATATTGTTGAACTTACCGACGAGCGCGTATAGTTGTTCCGCCTCATCCGCGGCGTCTTCTTCATATGCGTCATTCACGAAGGCTGTTGATGAAGGCGGGTTGGACTCCAAGGCCTGTAGCTTGTGGGACCCTCGCAGTGAGGTCCTTAAAAACTCATTCTGAGCAGCAATTCTCTCTTCAGCTTCTTTCCTTTGACGAAGTTGCTCCTGAAACAATAAAAAAATATTAAGGATAATTCAACATTTAATGCTCTTCAACCAAACTATACTTTACATGACTTTACTGCTTTACAGCAACCGTGATCACGAGAAAATGAGATAAAGATTTATCAATCTTTTTTCATATCAAATCATGTTTTAAAGTTTGCTTCATTAGTTCGTATGGATTAAATTTTATTAATGGTATATTTTATATAATGTTTAAATTCGACTTATTCGTATATTTATTTGCAATGTATCATGATTATGTAGTAGAAACATACATATATTTCACCAACAGATATAATTTACCAAACTTTTCTGTTGAATAATGTTAACGTATAAAGATGTATTTAAATTATTTTCAGTCATGAATAAACGAAAGTATTCGTAGTCCATAAAGTTATTCGTCATTTATAAAGTTTCCATTTCAAAGCACAGTTTAAGTTAAAACAAACGGACGGTGAATGAGTGTTACTTGAAACAATTTGAAATAATTATCCGTTTGTAAATGTAATTGTTCCGGATTCAACGGCCCTTCATTTCACAGAGGAGTTGAAACTTTGAAGTAATCGCGTCAATTCAAACTTCGTAGTAATAAAACATCTGTAAAGAATGCTAATTATAACAATGATCTTACTTTTTTATAAGAAAAGATTTAAATGTAAATCCAAATTCCAAGTTAACACTCCAAGAAGGTTGGATAAAAAAAAACGAATTAAAAGTAAAGACTAATAAAGATGGCGGAGTCAATACTCCAAGAAGGTTGAATTAAAAAAAAAAAAAATGAAAAAAATATATAGCGGGAATTTTAATTCAGTTATATTTCTTTATTTTATATGATATCAATTTAAAAGGATTTAAAACAACACGTCTATGGTGATTTTAACGTCAGTATTACTTATCAATGAGGAAGCTATTTGATTTGAATACAGTAGTATTACGGAAGGGGCGAATAGGAACTGAGATGTTGCCCTTTCAAATAATTATTTACGACATTGAAGTTAAATACCTAATCTTAAAGAATAGTTTTTTTTGACATATACATAGATGTATTAAATTTTAATATACTAAAAGAAAAACATATATTTTAAGTATTATAATTTAATTAAATTAAAATTCTATGATTTTTTAAATGTTTTTAATATATGACAAATATTTTTATAACAATATTTTGGAAGATAATAATCGGTAAAACATGTCTTTTAAGACGAGCAATTTGTATGATAGAAACAGATATGGGAAGATCTCATCCAATGATCATATTTTATAATCTATAATAATTTTATGATTTAAGATTTTGTTTGTGAAAGCGAACCGAATTCTATTTTCGATGGAGCGATTTTTGTGAGTTATTGGCTTTAAATAAAATTATATTTTTAGATAAGTATGTTATAGTTATGAAAAATATTATTGATATAATTAAATTTTATATCGTATAGATGACATGATTTTTTTATTGTTTTAATACTATGATATTAAGTAAGAAATACGTATACTAGTTTGCTTAGCTGAAACAAGAATAGGTAAATGTTATTGATAAGAAATCTTCGCTCATAATTGTAATTGATAATCATCAATATAGATATTAAAAACTAAATACATATGTGTGTTCGTCTTTACTATGAAAACTCATGGTAAGTATACTAAACAACAAAAAAAGCTTGAAACAGATAAACTTCTAGTTTAGAAGTGAACATTTCTAGAACAATAAAGTAGTGCAAGCGAAACAGGTTGTGTTCTTTTAGATACTAAACTAGACTATAAGGAAAACGTATATTGTATGTAGGACAAAGTTTCCACAACAAAAGTTGTTTTTAAATCATTAAGAAGCTGATCTAACAAGTTTTAATATAAAAACAAACGCTTAAATCTTTATAATATGTATACTCATTGAAAACTTTTTACTACAAATCTTCTTATTACTTGCACAAAAAGAATAGATAAATAAAATTTCTTGCTAAACTAGTTTTGAACTAAAATACATAAAAAGTTAATACATATGTTCACTTATTTTGAAACTTAGTTGTTATTTTGGAATAAGGCTAGTATTTTATCAATTCTTATAGGTACATAAATGCCTTCAATTTAAATATTTGTAACCAAAACGAAATATTACAGAAGAATGTCTTTTGAAAGTGCAATATTTTTAAATAGTATTTTCCGTTTACCATTCAATAACCAACACAAATACTATAAATAGACGAACTTTGAAAAACTGATAGTAATGGGAGAGGGATGCTTATGTTAAGTATACTCCATTCCACAACAAAAGCTCCCAACAAACGAAAGACATAATGTCTATATAAGTCGCTTATCGTCGCTCTATTGTTTCTGGCCTTAATCGTATTAATCTGAGATTTTCATAACCATATATTAAAATAATATACGCTGTAACTAAGTAATAAATGTTTTTAAAGTAAATTACTTTAGTAAAATATATAAAAAATTACTATTTCTTTTTCGATAACATCTCAGTGACGGCTACTTTAGAATTTAGATAGGAATCTGTTAATTTATTATATTATATGTCATCGTTATATGAGTGTAAATGAAGCCACTAATTAGCAACTCTTTGAAGACATCCCTACAGTGATAGTCGCTCAACTTTTAAATTCGCCGCTCGAATCTCCGGGCTCTTTGGTAATTTTAATATGAAGCTTCTAATTAAAAAGTCTACATACATTTCATATTTAAATTACATAAATGTAAATAAATACACGCAGGTCTTACGACCATTAGTAAGGACATTAATATTAAATTGAAGTGAAATCTTTATTTATTCGGTTAACTCCTTTCACCTTCCTCATTTTCTCTGGAACAAATTTTTTTATATGAACCCAAGGCTTCATTTTACTTAGTATACTTTAACAACAATGGCCACTTCAATCCAAGTAGCTTTCCTCTTTAAACTGTCCATCTTCAAACAATTTTTATACGACTACATTTGAGACGAATACGACCGCTAAAAACCACAGCCGTATTTGAATTTTGTTTACAAGCGAGGTCCGTATAGGGCAGTTGGCATAGATACCAGCACCATTACATACGCGAAAGTCAAACTTGTTTACTCACCGAATATGCCTTTATTCTTTCTGGGTCGACGCCATGTTGGGAGCGCGTCTGTGCGCGTGGCGACGAGGACACCATGATCTATGGATCACGATCTATAGATCACTTCGTTAACTATCATCCGCATGCCAATATCGGTACATGCGCTGTGATTGTATATTTTACTGGCTGGTTTGTATTTCTATATATTTAATTATGGTAAGTCTTATGTAACAGTGATGTATATATCTTTACCATAGTGTGGTGTCAATTCTCGGTGTAACAATATAGCATATATAATGATAGTTACATTATACGTTTAACGACGTTGAAACACGCGATTGCTTCACATACGATCGGAATTTTATCGATAAAGTAAATATATAACTTGTATAGAGACACTGGGTAATACAGAAATAACTGTTGTCTTTTAATAATGTTTAATATTTTTATAAACAATGACATATTTGTTTTGATAAACTTGTTTCTATGTGCTAATAATTAGTTAATATTCGGACATATTTTTAAGAACAGTGTGCAAACGACAAGCTACGAGTATTCGACACATGAAATTAAAACGAACAGAGTAAAAATAATATAAAATGCAAATTTTACATAATAAATAATTTAAAATTGTTGACATTAAAGTCTTTCACAAACTGAAAATGTACTGCTAACGTCAATGCTGTCAATTTTTAAAACAAAATTGTTCAAGCATTTTTAACTATTTTTCAATCAAATATTAAAAAAAGAGTCATGACGTAGTTAATTTATAAGAAACTTCCTCTTTTTTGAAATCGATTAAATATTTTAAACTTTATATAAATAACAAACACAATAATTTAAGACAACTATTTTTTACACACACCCACAATTCAAATCTTGTGTTTGTGTGTGTATCCGGTTTTTATTATTATTGTGACGATGACTTCAAACGAGTTAGATCATTTACATGTAACAGTTATTTAACCATATTTGGGATTAAATTATATACAAAAAGCCACCGTTTTCTTAGAAAATTAAAATTTATATAAAATACTTATACAGTGGCGAGTTAATGCATTATTAAGTTTTTTTTCTTCTTGTCTACCTGACAATTTACCAGCTTTAGCCAGGGTCTGCCTTACATGTTGTGAATAGTTTTAGCTAATAGTTTTTTTACGACAAACCGCCTGCCTGTAATCCCTCATGCCTTATCAGTGATGTCTAAATACTCCTAAAAAGTAAATATGACTCGGAAAAATCACATTAAATTATTAAGTTTGATAATACTAGAACTAAATGAAACCGCAAATTGGAAACTGAAGCTAGTTTAAAAAATAAAGAAAATATAGTAAAGTAGAACATTATATTATAGAAGTTAAAAGTCAATTTGTTGAAGGTAATTTAATAGTTGTATAAATTTAATGTATAGATGACGTCACTAAAACAGCGATAACAGATAAGGTAATTGTTTGAACACAAGGTTGTAGCGAATCTGTCTTGATACAAGTAATTCCCTTAACATACGGCTTTTAAAAATATATAATTAATAATATATATAACCAAATATAGTGGTGGCTCAGTGGTTAAAGGGTCCGCCTCTCGGCCTCTCGTCGCCGAGGGCGCGGGTTCGATCCCGGCCCGGGCAAGTACCAATGTGATTTTTCCGAATCATATGTACTTTCTAAGAGTATTTAGACATCACTGATTAATGTTGATTCCCAAAAAAGGGTTGATGTCAGGCAGGCGGGCCGGTCGTAAAAACAAATAGCCAAAAACTGTTCACAACATGTAAGGCAGACCCTGGCTTATAGCTGGGAAATTGCCAGGTAGAAGAAGAAGAATATATATAACCAAATATAAATTGATTATTCTTTTTTTTAAATAAAACAGAAGCTTTTTATTGTATCTAATAATTATGAAAAATGCAATAATAAATTATGTAAATTCTTTCCATAATATGGAATGAATGATTT